GTACCCGGAAGTGGGGTTGCTGGATCATATGGTAATTCTACGTTTAATTTTTGAGGAAGACCCATACCGTTTTCCATGGCAGCTACACCATTTTACATTACCTCCAACAGTGTGCAAGGCTTCCAGTTTCTACATGTCTTGTTATCGTTTTTGTGGGCTTTCTGTGTGTGTGTACATATATTAATATATACACACATATATAAATATATATACATATATATGCCATCCTGATAAGTGTGAGGTGATACCTCATATTCTAGTTTTTTATTTGAATTTCCCTAATAATTAATGACGTTGAACATTAATGATGGAAACACATTTTTTCATGTATTTTGCCATTGTTATACCTGCTTTGGAGAAATGTCTGTTCAAGTCCTTTTCCCATTGTTTTGATTGGGTTATTGGTTTTGTTGTTATTGAGTTGCAGGAGTTCTTCATATATTCCGGATATGAGCCCCTTATCAGGTATATGATTTGCAAATACTTTCTCCCATCCTGCAGGTTGCCTTTTCACTCTTTGATTGTGTCCTTTGGTGCACAGATGCTTTTACATTTGATGTAGTTCAATTTATCTATTTTTACTTTGTTGCCTTTGCACTGTTGAATTTTAGTAATGTATAAACTTTAAAATAACCATTAAAAAAACTTATGCTTTAATAAGCAATGTATTCTACATGGGTGTTCATTCAGAGAACTCCAGTTACACGTCTGCCCCCCATACATGTGGATTTTGGGCACATGTTTGTTTCCAGAGTAAGTTTGTAACTTTGTGGAATCATTTGACCTTGCTTCAGGGACAGTTCTTGTCTCCAGCCCCTGTGGTATTATACATTCCTGTGTTTACAGCAGACTCGAAATAACCAGTGAAGATGCAGTGATTGTAAAGACAAAGAACTTGAGTGACTGCTACTGCTATGCAGCTCTTCTATGTGACAACTTGTAATTCTCATTTGATTTAAATTTTATAAAAGTGAAACAGAGTGTGAACTGCTAGAGGTAATATTTTGGTTTGGTAAGTGCAACTCTTACCTTATACATGAACTATTTTACTGAATTTGCATATTAGCCTAAAAATTGAAATTCCTTCTTTTTTATTGTTATTACTATTTAATGGTCAGTACGCTCTAACGTTATTTATTATTGCAACAGGCTAGTAGGTAGGTATAAGTTTCTAAAAAAAATAACATTAATGTAACTTAAAAATACTACGCCACTACCTCTCCTTTTTTGGCTGTAATGTTTATTTTATTTTTCATTTGAAAACTTTTCTGGCTTGCTTATATATAGAAAGTTTAATAGGCTGAGTACGGTGGCTCATGCCCGTAATCTAGCACTTTGGGAGGCTGAGGAAGGAGTATCACTTGAAGCCAGGAGTTCGAGACCAGCCTGAGCAACATAGTGAGACTCCACCTCTACGAAAAAATTTAAAAATTAGCCAGGCATGGGTGTTGTGTGCCTGTAGTCCCAGCTGCTTAGGAGGCTAAAGCAGAAGGATCACTTGAGCCCAGGAGTTTGAGGTTGCAGCGATATATAACGATGCCACCGCACCCTAGCCTGGGCAAAAGAATAAGACTCTGTCTCCAAAAAACCAAACCAAAACAAAAAAACCCCACAAAAAAACAAAAGAAAGTTTAACAAAGGAAATGTTATTTTTTTCTAGGCCTTATTATATTACATTTCATGTCTGTTACTGAAAAGTTCAAGAATGATCCTCCCTAGGGGGTCAGATTTGCTAGGTGCGCTACTGGAGGTGCGAACCCCCCAGGTGGGGTCAGGGCAAAGGAGTGAAGGTGGGAGGTAGAGGTGAGAGGGCCTGGGGACATGGGCAAGGGTTTGGATGCTCTGCCGCAGGCTCCGGGGAGGCTGTGGGGCTGGCCCGCCACAGGGTGTGTGATGACTTGTGCTGACCACTCTAGTACCGGGGTGAAGATCCGAGACAACAGAAGTGTATTAGGTTCTCCAGAGAAACAGAAACAA